TGGGGCCTGTCGAATGTCAGTACACATGAAATCAAAACCTTTAGTTTTTTGTTTTTAAGAGACTATCTAGATTGGGTACCAACGACGTCTCCCTTCTCAGAGAACAAGGGAACCGACCTGGGTGATAACTGGCGTTCTCTCGGGCTCTGCAGGTCTGTTACGGGAGTCAGGCAGATTGCCTTGCATTGACTCTGCTGAGCTGAGCACCACCCGAAAACAGTATACCTGCAGCATGTACCACCCTAAGATTCCCAGCCACCGTCACTTTAGAGACCCCCCTGCAGATTTGTTGACACCCCCCTGGTTCTTCACCCAGGAACTTGCCGACCTTGTCTCATTTCCACCTGTGAAGGGTCTTGAGCATTTGGACTGTTTCCTTCTTTGCAGTTGGAACCATGGATTTGTAAAAACATGGTAAGTCCAGAAAAGGAGGCCAAGACACAGTTCCAAAGCCCTTCCCACACCTGGCCAGGCTCTGTGTCTGATTCTTCCTGGACCAGAATACACATCTCTCTCCTCGGCGTCTTCTTACCTTCCCAGGAGCCTTCCAGGACAGCCCCTGTTCCCCACCAATCTCCCCTTCCATGTAGCTTGTATCTGTTTCTGTGATTATTTTGTTCCAATCTCTTCTCTTCTTAGACAGTGATCTACGGGCCAGCTTATAGCTCTAAGTCACGGGTCAATGTGCAGTCCATGGAAACTTCTAGAGAAATGTTTGTTGAACAACTACATAAAGCCCTATCTGACCTCAGTTCCAGACTTTGTCAATTGCATCGTCTTCCCCCCGACAAATGCCAGCCACCTTTGAGAACATTATATAAGGATCGAGAGATTTGCAAGTACAAGTTGCAAACATGTGTCTACAAGCATGTTACCTGAAGGATATGAATGTGGAGGACTCCCAGGAAGTTTTTCCATACAACTGGGCTGAAGCCAATGCTCAGCTTTACCCAGGTAGAATGTTCACACCTTCCACAGTTCCTGGTGCTGCCCTGGGCAGTAGCCCTCCTGACCTCAAGGTGCTGTGTGACTTGTGCATCTGAGTGTGTTCCTTCCTGCCCTTTCACAGATGTTACCAATGAATCCAGGGCAGTACAATTACTCAGCATCAGGCTGGGGAGATAGCTCAGCGATTAAGAGAGCAAACTGTTTCCAGAGGACCAGTGTTCAACTCCCAGCACCGACATCCTGCAGTTCATAACAAGCTCCAAGGGGATCCAATGCCCCCTTCTGGCCTGTGAGAGCACTGCAAGCACATATGCATATACCCACACAGATAGACATTTTTTAAAAATAGTAAGAGAAATTGTTTTTTTACAAAGTCACTCAGTCACAGGCAGTAATTATGGAATCCAGTGGAATTTACCTTCAAGTCATTGTCATCCACCCTCAGGTTGTGTATTCTTTCACTTCACTAACTCTGCCAGGTAACTGTGTCAGAGCTCAAGCTTAGTTGGAGGGGAAAACATGTCAGTGCTTCTCAAAATTGTTTCTTGCTTCCAGTTTCATTTTTATACTTTGTAATGACTTTATGGAGGTCTAATTTCCATGCCATAAAATTCTCTCTTACAAATGTATAAGCTGGTGGGCTTCAGCACAGTCACCAAGCAGGACACTGCCATTGTTACCCCATTTTAGAAAAGTATTCATTTATTTATTGTGTATACAGTACTCTGCCTGTATGTCTGCCTGCAGGCCAGAAGAAGGCACCAGATCTCATTACAGGTGGCTATGAGCCACCATGTGGTTGCTGGAAATTGAACTCAGGTCCTCTGGAAGAGCAGACAATGCTCTTAACTGCTGAGCCATCTCTCCAACCCTCGAAACATTTTTATCAACTCAAACAAAAGCCTGGGCATCATTAGTGGTCACTGTCTTTTCTGAAGCCACAGGTGCAGCAGATAGAAGAACTATGCATATCCTCCTCTGCTTGACAGGAGATAAAATACTTCCTTCATATGATAATTTTTTGAGAGATTTGTTTACTTTTATTTTATCATTTTATGTATGTGGGTTTATGCCTGAACACATATATGTGCATGCACTATGTGCATACAGCTCCTATAGAAGCCAGAAGAGGGCATCAGATCTCCCTGGAACAGGAGTTACAGATGGTTCTGGGAATCGAACCCTGGTCCTTGAAAGAGCACCAAGTTTTCTTAAATGCTGGGCTATCCCTCCAACTCCATATAATTAATAAAACAAACAAAACTCAAACACATCTTTTTACTAGTAAGGAGGACTAATAAGTCCTGGTAGCTTACATGCCTTATATAATTACTATTTTATAAGGATCCTGAACGTTTCTGTAAGTTTTACCTTACTGAGAATCCTATCTACAGCTTCAGTCCTCTAAAGAAGCAACCATCACACATGCACTTACACACACACACACACACACACACACACACACGCATGCATGCACTGCATGTGAACAATAATAAATCAGAGTCCAGAGACCCTGTCTCAAACAAACAAATAAAGGATTGAAGAGATAAGTGACTTAGAACTTAAGAGCACTTGCTGCTCTTGCAAAGGACCTGGGGTTCCATTCCCAGCACCCTTATGACAGCCCACAACCATTTATAACTTCAGTTCCTGGGGATTTGACGCCCTCTTCTGACCTCTATGGGCATTGCACGCACATGGTGCACAGATGTACATCCAGGCAAAACACACATAGACATTAAAAAAAGTCTTTTGTAAAATAAGTGCAACAAAATCCCAAAACCATGAGGATATCTGCCATGCAGAATAAGACAGGTTTTTTTTTTTTACAAGTGGAGTCTGGTCAAGTTTCGCCAAAGGCTTACAAGCATGGAAAAGCAGATTTTATTCTTTGTGGGACTCAGAAAAGATGTACTTTTTTTGGTTCAGGTTTTTGTTTCAAAGGTAGAGGTTTTATTGCATAAAACACTGGATAAAACTGGACTGCTTCAAAGACATTTTATTCCTAACAGCAGAAAGAAAACAGTCATTGCTGAAAAAAACAACTTTTAATACTTTCTATACCAGAATAAAGTTCTGTCAACTGATGTATTATAATAATAAATAATGACCAAGAATAAACTTTAAATACAAAGTTCTACTTGTTACAAGCATAGCGACAAACTCCTCTACTCTATGATCTCAGAGTTCCTCCAAGATAGAATGTAGACGGGGTTAGGAACAGCATCACAGACTACAGAAGTCACGGGGGAAGGACTGACGTGTATAGATATGAGAGCCTGGTGACACGCGACACCAACACCGCATCACAGAGGCTGTCACGGGCTTGTATGACAAGTCACAAGTGTTCTGGAAAGAAAGCCTGTGTCAGGGGGGAAGAAGGACGGCTAGTAGGACTGGACAAAATGGAGTCAACACGCACACCACAAAGAAGGGAGTATGTTCCCAAGGTCACACCCAGTGTCACAAACAGAATTATTGCCTGTAGCGTCTGAAGATGCTCGGAGGACACAAAAGACACTGGACCAGCGCCAAAGTGCTAGACACGGAATGTGGATCGCTCTCTCTCTCTCTCTTTTTTTCCACTTTTTTTTCCTCCTTTTTATTATTTTTTTTCTTTTCTTTTTATTTTTTTGTTTTTAATTTCTCTTTGCTAAGATACCACAGGTGGGGCAAACACACAGAAAGCAAGCCAGTGGCACAGTCACCAAGCACAACAGTGCACTTAAACCCTAAATGCTCACTACAGTCCCAAGTTTCCCGCCAGTGTCTCCAGGCCCACTTCGGACCACAGAGACAACCACAGTCAATCAACTGAGTTTAGTAAGGCAGTGAGAACTATTCTAGAGGGGCAGGGGGGAAGGAAAGAAGAAAAGAAAGGAAAGGAAGGGAAAAAGAAGAGCAAGAAAGCAGCTTGCTTTATGCCAGATGGGTCCACGTTGCAGAGCGGCCTCATCACAGTGAAACCAAGTTGGATGACGCCCTTTGACAGCATATGCAAACCGGATTCCTTTATTAGCCTGAAATTCGGTCTCAGGACAGCGCTAAGAATTTTATTTACATTGATTGCAGCTTAGTATTTTTGTAAACTGCTATAGGCAGAGTTGAAGTTTTTAAGGCCCTGGGGTTTTATTGTGTGCTCCCAGACTGCAAGGAAATATTGACTTTTTCCCCTCTCTCTCCAAGTCTAAATGATTTCGTTCTCGAAGTTAATACTTCGCTACGTCTCCACCATCACAAGCAACAGTGCCAAGTGCATGTCACTCAAAGGAAGTGTGTTAGAAGGTGGGAACTTTTACAGTGTTCTAGCAGATTCAAGAAGAATCAATCCTTTGATGAGTTTTCCTACGCCACGGTTTTGGTTTTGGTTTTGGTTTTTTAAGAGTTGTGTTTCCTCGTCAACCCTCAAAATCTCCCTCAGTGTGGTGCAGAACTGGATAAATTTTGAGTGTGCAATCGGTAGACACTCCATAATCTCCAAAAAATACAGAACACATTTGTTTCACAAAAATGAACATTCTAACCCAAACTGTTTTCTTCATTAGTGACAGACAGCCGGGGGTTTAGATTCATGTTTTAATACGAGTTATTCTGGAAGAGCTCACTGGAGAAGAAAAATCTTGCTTCATGCCCACAACACTTAAAAAGTAACACATGAGAAAAGAAACCTGGTGACAAGGGCCAGGGGAGACTTCACTCGAGTAAAACGCGTCTTAGACTCTAATAGAAAGCAGTCTTCCCCATTAGCAAAGAAGCTGCTATTGTTCAGCAGGACTTTCTATGGAGAGCAGAGTTGAGGTGGCCCGGTTTGCTAACGCCTGTTTCTAGAATGATTTCTGCAATTTGTTTCTAATATCAAAAGCTTTTCCTTCATCCAGACACTTTCAAAACGACAACCCAGGAAAGAAAATAAGAAAATTAAAAAGCATTTCTTTCCAAACTGCAATTTGATCTAAAGAAAAAAAAAAGACGCATCAAACCTGCAAAGGACATTTGTCTGCAGACACTTCCTGACCACTGATTCATTGGCCTGTGTAGTTTTTTTTTTCTAAAAGCACACTTTAGATCACTCTCCTCGGCAGCACTGGTCAGGCCTGGCGCTCGCTGGCTGCGTGCGGGCCGGCTAGGATTTCTCCCAGAGTGCAGAGTGACACCACGTGAATTGATTTTCCCTGCAGTGACCGCCCCAGTCTGACTGGCACCTCAGCTGCCTCCCAAGTCATCTCATTAGGGCGCTAGGCGAGTGACAGCAGCTGGTCTCAGATTATAGAGGTGTTTTCAGGAAGGAAAACACAGACCCTTCGAGGCAGTGCAAAAATCACTCGGACGGTATCTCTTTGTTTTCGGTGTTTTGTTTTGTTTTGTTTTGTTTTTTTGGTTTTTGGACCAAGATGACTTTCGGGTTGGGGAGGCCTCCAGCTTTCGGAGCCCGAAGGACACAGGGACAATTTCTGAAATCACTTTCTCCCACCTGCATTGCTTGGAAGTTCTTGTTACTGGGTAACAGTGTAGCAGCCATGTTCAAGGGCTGGGGGATTTTTCTTTTTAATATATATTTATATATATAGATATCTTTTAAAATTCTTTTAAATGTTCTATACACTAGAGAGGGGTCGTACATGATCCCCCCCCCCTTGGAATGCAGTTAGCAAACTGGTGAGACCAGCTGCAGGATTTAAAACTGTAGAGAGGACTATTGCAGCGGACAGGCTCTGCTCAGTTGCCCTCCTCCTGGCCCTTGCCTCTCTCATCTGTTAGATCAGCAAAGCCCCCTGCTTTGACAGGTGCAGCCTCCTCAAAATTCCCAGAAGCCTCCGAGTCGACCCTGGAACGTTTGAACCTGCGGTCGGGATACTGGCTGTTGTCAAAAGGCATTCGATGGACGCAGAGGACGTGGGTCTTCAGGTTCCCCTTCTGCGAGGCACTGTAGGGACAGTAGTGGCACTGGAAAGGCCTGTGACCTGTGTGGAAGGGTGGAAAGAAAGTATCCGGTCAGTCGTGGGTCACACCTCAGTCACCACCCATCCTGAGCTCCAGGGCCAAGAGCACCATCACCCCTGTCAATCATATCACAGCCTCTGGGCAAAATTCCAGCAAGAAGGGGTAAGAATCCAGCCCGTTAGGCATACCAAGTGAGATTTAGACTATCCTCCCATTCTGACCAGAAATTTTAATTTAGCTTTTCCAGAAGAGGGAAGAGAAATTACTCAATACCTAGAAACATTTCTATGAAATGGTGAATAGCTTAGAACTGATGATATTATATAAATGTTTGCAGAACAAGAAATGAAGCACACTATCCCATGTTGTGTGGTTATGTGTGTAGAGACACGTGCACACATGTGCGCCCTTAGAGCCCACAGACCATGTGCAGATGTGAGAAGACCACTGCTGAGGGTCCCCTGTCTCCTTTCACTATGTGGGTTTCGGGGATCAAACTTAGGTACTCAGACTTGGCCGCAAGCACCATTTACTTGCTCTGCTATCTCACCAGCTCATATCCCAGCTTTTTTATTGACAGGATTCAAAACTTTACTTATGGATGCTGAAGTCTGATTTCAGGGGGCATGAAATAATCTCACGTAAGGCTTCCTCTCTCGACTGTGTTGTTTGTCTGTTTTTAAGCGTAAAACGACTCTTAATTTACTAGCGTGTGCAAAAAAAAAAAAAAAGGAGACCAGAAGCAGATGTGATCAGTAAATTATATTTTGCTGACTTTAGACACACCCAAACCCAGTAAGTTTCTGTACTGGGTATCCATACTCAAGGCTGAGGGTAAAGCTACTTCCCATTGTTCTGTAACATGGACTCTTTACTAAAGGCAGACCGAGCCTGAGGAGTGATTCTGTCTGAGGAGTGAAGGAGAGGGATGCCAAATAACCCTGCTAGAGCTAAGCTGTGAGCAAGACTGAGCGGCACAGCCTTAGAAGCTGGAAGCGTCGGGACAGACAGACAGACAGCAAGGACCATACCATCAGCTCAAGGTCAATCTAAGCATCAAAGCAGTGGGATCTGGGGATAGAGAGATGGCTCCGGGGTTATACTGGCTGCTCTTCTCACTCTGTTCTTAGCAACTGAGCTGGGCAGGTCATAACTACCTGTCGCTCTATCTCCATAGAATCTAGTGCCCTCTTTTGGCCTCCTCGGGCACTGCAATTACGTGGCATGCTCATGGACACACTCACAAAGTCTTAAAATAATATTAATAATAAGGGGGACTTGAAGAGTGACCCCCACACACACAAATGATGGTTTTCTAGGAAAGCTCTTATGTAGAACAACTGACAAATTCTTAAGGAAGGTTTTTGATCCTGGAAGTTTGGTCGCTCTGCCCTGTGTGTAGTGGTTAAAACACCTCTGCCACCTTGAAAAGTCGGTGAGGCGTCTGCTTTGGGGCGTGACAGGGGAGCAAGTGAAGTCCCTCTGATACCAGGAAGGTTGGGCAGCCACTGCCCGAAGCTCAAAAGCTTCTCCATCCTGTATCAGCCAGAAACCCAGCCTTGTTTGCTTAGAAAACTGAACCCATAAGGGGACTGATCCTTTAGTCCCCCAAATATCCAAACAGCACAGCTGGGATGCTTCCCTACTTTAATCACAGGAAAAAGCCCTGTGTGTATTTTCAGACAGCAGTCCATTCCTGAGAGTCAAGCACCCAATACTGCGTTTCTCTCATTTACTTGCTTCTCTTTGCTTCTCTCTCTCTCTCTCTCTCTCTCTCTCTCTCTCTCTCTCTCTCTCTCTCTCTCTCTCTCTCTCCTTTCCTTTCCTTTCCTTTTCTTTTTCAGACAGGGACTCTCTATGCAACGTGAGCTGGCCTTGAACTTCCTTTTGTCCTGCTTCAGACTCCCAAGGCTGGGGTTCCAACCTGCACCAATACGCGAGGCCTGCGTCAGCACACCAGGCCTGCACCCCCACACCAGGCCTGCGCCCCTACACCAGGCCTGCACCCCGCACCAGGCCTGTGCCCCTATACCAGGCCTGCACCCCAGCACCAGGCCTGCACCCCCGCTCCAGGCCTGTGCCCCTACACCAGGCCAACACTAACACATTTGCTCAATGATATTAGCTTGATTCTCTTGTCCGTTTCTTTGGCTGTTTTTCAATCCAGTTCTCCCTATATAGCTCAGGTTCTATGCCCCTGCCTCATCTCCTGAGGGCTTGATCCTCCCTCTAGCCTGGTTTGGCTCTTCTGCTTCTTTCTAAGTGGGCTTTGGCAATGTCTTCTCCCCTTCCCTCAGAGCCAGGGTTGGCTCCTCCTGCCCGAGGGGTCCCCCCTCTTTATCATGTAGAACCGGTCATGGTATGCTGTAGCTTTTGCCTGGACTGTGATGTGGGACCATCCAGCCCACCTTCCCTGTGCCCCCAGAAGGAAGGCCACTTGGAGAAGATCAGTACATCATTCTTTTCCACCGTCCTTGCTGGCTACCAATCCTGTAGGACTCACCAGGACACTCAGGGCTCAGCCCAAGGGTTTTCCAGTCCCTATCAGAACATCCTATCTGGGTCTACACAGACAGCTCGAGTCCCCAGTCTCCACACCCTGTCTGAACCGCCTCTCCTGCAAGGACATGATCCGTTTCACGATGAAATGGATCCCTTGGGGGAGGCCCCGGGTTCCTGGAGTGGAGCCACAGCCTCTGGATATCCAGTGTCCTACAGCCCTCACTGTCTCCCTGTTTCATCTGGGCTGGGTCTGGAGAGATGGCTACGGATCCTGCAGAGAGTGTTTGCCGCTTTTGTTCCTATGGATGCAGCAATGCGAGGCTTCGGGTGGTCAGTTTTGCCATCTGTGGAAGCAGTGTGCAAACTCGCAGATGTGGGGAGGAAACCCGGAAAAGATTGCAATTGCCTTCTGCCCTTCCCAAGATGCTGCAGAGAAAGAATGCAGAGCACCAGCAGGGACTGCAGCACCAGCAGGATTCCTGCCTGTGTTTCTGCTGGCTGCTTCTACCCTCGGGGCTTGGCCATCTTCCCATGGAAACAGAGAAGGCCCTGAGCGGGAGATGTGAGACTAGCGTTTCTTTTTATTATTAGCATATATTAATTGCACGAGCTAATTGATTTCACGATGAGGTTTTCATACATGCATATCGTGTACTTTGATCATATTCATTCACCATTAACCTCCCCTGTCCCCAGCACCTCCCGATGGCCACTGGCTCCCTTCCCATCCACGGATACATCTCTTCTACATTCACGTGAGATGGATACCTCTGTAGATTGCTGTTTGTCCAGGGGATGCAAATGGTCCTTGTTCTTCATCATATAGAAAGTTGGTAGCCTGTGAGATAACTTGGGATGTTGCTGTAGTTTGGGTTATAGTGGAGTGTGTTCCCCAGGGGCTCATACATGGTACCCAGTGTGGCAATGCTGCAAGGTGATGGAATTTTTACGAGACAGAGTCGTATGACATATGGTCTGGTCACTGGGGATGCTCTTCTTGAGAGGGATTATAGGATCATGGTCAGTTTCTGTGAGCGTGAGTTATGAACCCTGAATCTGAATTCTTTTCATCTGCCATGTGATTACTCCTTCACGGATATGTCCCTGCCATGCTGCTGTCCAGCGTGTTGTGATAGAGCTAGCGGCCTTTACCAGAGCCAAACAGAAGTCAGCCTTGTGCTCTCAGATCTCCACAATTGTCAGTTAGGTAAACCTCGTTTCTTTATCTCGAATTCAACCTTGGGAAGTTTGTTATAGCCAAGAAGACCATCATAGACTCTGATAGACACTGTCCTTGAGGAGATGACTGGAGAAGTCACAGTGTGTCCACTTCTCCCTTGTTGGGACTCCAAATGGGACCTAACTGAGCATCAGTAAAGTTCATCAGATATTGCACAAGCAATCAAAATTACACTGAGACCCTAAAACTTAATGATGTGACTCAAGAAGTCACCATCCTGGCATAAATTAAAGGTATGTCCAGTGCTCATCAAAAAAGACTCATTCTTATAAGTGGAAAACTACTTAAAACTACTGAGAAAGGGCCACTGATGCCTGTTGACGAAGGAGCAGTTGAAGATCCTCCCAAAGAGTTTTGGGGGCAGAGGTTGGCAGATGGCTCAGCAGTTAAGCGTGAGTTCTGCTGCTTCAGAGGATCCAAGTTCAAGTCCCAGTTCCTATGTCCAGCAACTCACGACCACCTGTAATTCTAACTCCAGGGCATCTGACTCCCTCTTCTGACCTTCACAGGCACAAACCCAAACACATATAATTAAAAATAAATATTTAAATTAAAGAAAACACAGAATCCCGAGGGAAAGGCGACAATGGGAAACTTGAGGAACACTTTCAAATGTCACCTAGAGCTTCCCAGCCTCTGTGGTATGCTGATGCTTCCCCAAGGGGGGACAGCTCTACGGCAGCGTACAGCTAAGGGAGACGACATAGATCCGTTAACGTCACTAATGTATTTATTATAATCAATGGTCATTACCATGGCATGGCAAGTTTTGGGATAGAAGAACTTCAAATAACATGCCAATAACAATCTTAAAATGAAATGCTTGCTATCCCAGAGGTCAGCAGACCCAAGGACAAACCGAGCAAACGCAGGCTCAGTTCATCAGTCAGGCTCAGTCTCCAAAACCTTGTGGAGCCTCCTGCACTTGGAGCATTTTTGTTGAACAGTCAACGCCTTTCATCGCATCACCTACCAGCACTGCTAATAATTGCTCTGTTTGGGGATCCTGGTCTCCAACCCTTGCACACGACCCTCCCTTCAAACCCTGTCACCTCAGAGGCCATGCCTTCTGAGCCATGGCACAATGCAGAGAGAGCCTTGAATATCACCTCGGTTTGTAAGGAGTGTCTTTGCGTGTTGGCCAACTTGACACAAAAGCACTTAGCTCCCTTTCCTCCACTAATCGATTTTTTAAATATTCATCACGATTTGATCCTATGGTTACATTCTGAGTCTTGATTTCTTGGTAGAGACAAAGATGATGAACGATGATTCTAGCAGATTCCAACACTTCCGGGGTCAACCCATTATTGGATTGGTTGGCTTTTCAACGCTGGTGCAATGGAATCTGTTTGTAAATGCATCTGGAGCTCAGAATGCACTCATTGGAGAGGGAGACATGAGCAGTGGTAGACTTGCAAGAACTCTTTCTGTCGTCTTGAAACTTGAAATTTATAGAAACAGTTAAAGCTCTCAAAAGCTTCATTCCATGGTTCTTTATACCCAGTTCTGTGCATTTGTCCTCAGAATTGCACTTCATGGGGGGTTTTCCTAGAGGTCTTATTGTCGCCATTGTACAGATGGGGAAGTTAAGACACAGCCAACCTGTTCAAAGCAAGTTCCCAACGGATACAATGCACTCTGAATCCGTGAAGGATTCCCCTGCTTACTTTCAGCTGTCAACTCCACACAAACAACAGCCACTCAAGAAGAGGGGACCACAGTTGAGGAATTGCCTCCATCGGACTGGCTTGTGGGCATGGTAATTGATGTAGTACAGATTGACCCACTGTGGGTGGTGCCGTTCCCTATACAGGTAGATCTGAGTTGTATAAGAAAGCTAGTAGAGGCAGCCAAGGGAGTGTACCAGATGACGGGAGGCTTAAGAAGTCATGCTATACCAGAATAGATGTTGGCCAAAACTCAAAGGTAAGTGTAAAGGTAAGCTTGTGGTGGTCAGATTCTTGATTCTCAAACAAAAGGTGTCATTGCTTAAGCCATTTTTGGATATCCATCAATTTCTGAATCAAGCCAAATCCCAATTTCTGTCGCCCACCTGCCCCTTCAAAGACCCTTAGATGGCACAGACTCATGCATGCTGGTGTCTGTTGTGCTTGGATAAAAGAATGTCAGCAAGGGTTTTGAACTAACCACAGAATGCATGACTGTGTAAAAATCACAGAAAACATCACTGTGTACATTCAGGGCCAATGGTTGGACAAAGGAAGGGGCTGAGAGGCACCAATCTACTTGGGTAAATTGTCACTGAGGTAGATTTAGAGAGAACTAAATCTTCATATACAGATGAGTATCTTGCTGACAGAGGTGAAGTTGGTTCATGCCTGGAGTGACAGGGCAGTCCCTCAGTCGCCTACAAGCTTCCATCTGTTTAAAATGAGATCAAAGACTGTCCAAGCTGCCCACACCACCATAGGTACCACAGATGAACCGGTGATTCTGGGGTCCACGGGTGTCCGTGGAGAGCAGATAATGACTGCCAGTCTCTAGGATACAGAAAGGACTTAAAAGCGCAGTTGGTCTGATAGGTCTAAACTTCAGACTAAGGGTCTCATCTGTCGGTCCCCACTAGACACGCCCATCTCCTAAGCTTGTCCCATTGGGCAGCATTCCATGTTGGGGATAGTCTGTGGTCAGGTACAAAGGCCAAAGCCCTTGGTCTGACACCTTCTCTTTCTTCCTGAAGCCTTTCTCATCTTAGCAGTGATAGATTTAGGTCTGGCAATGAGTTTGGAGTCAGACTCCCACTTCCCACCTTTGTGGGCACGTGACTAACCCGGTCAAGGAAGTGCCTCCTTTCTGACCTTGGCCCATTTGTTTGATCTCCCAGTTCTCTGGCCCCACAGCCGCGAAAGTGAGATCTTCCGTGTTCAGAGGAGCCAATGTCGGTGAATGTGTTTCATTGGGATGAAGTTTGGCATTTCAGTTCTAGCAAGGGGTCCTTGAAGAGCACGGGACCCTTTGCTAGAAGAAGCTCAAGAAGATGGCAAGACTGGAGAGAGCCTGAGTCCAAACAGCCTTGTGAGAGAGTGTGGCTGTAGGACCAGTGGGATTCTAATAAATCCTCCAGGAGGCCATTTCTCCATCTTTCTCTCCCCCCACCCTCCAGTTTCCTACCCTCTGGCCAACATAGGATGTCTCTCTAGTCTCCATCTGTTCCCTGCTCCATTTTACCACAGGGCCTTTGCACAGCCCTTCCCCACTGTCCCAGGGTGGAATTCTTCCTTCTCTGCCTTCACCTAATCCTTCAGCATAACTGCCTCTGCTTCTGGAGGATCGTGGTTATCCCAAAACCACCATGGTGACTGTGAGAGATACATGACTTCAGTACCTCTTCTAATATCGGCAGCTGAACAAGTAAAGCAGCCATGACTGCCCCTTTCCGAGAAGACTGGTAACCCCGTGGGGAAAGGGACCCTGGAGTTTCGTAGGGGAGGAGGGCTATCATTTGCTCTTTCTGATCATTGCTATTAGCCTCCACAGCATGACACAAACACATCATGGACATCAGTATGTTTCTAGCAGAGGAAGATATGAATGCCACATACAAGAGAAGAAGCAGAGAGGGAGGAGAAACACAAGACCATTGAGGAAAGAGAGAGCTGGTCTGAGTCCGGGCCAGGCACAGGCGATCAGTGGAGGATTCTAGAACAAGTGAACAGGGAACTCAAGATGGGAGATGGGGAAGTGTCGGTGCTCACAGGCTACGGGAACGTTGTCCTGTGAGAAAAAGGAAGTAACCAGCCCTTCCTACTACTTCAGTATCGCAGCAGCCTAAGACACCCCAGTCCTCGCCTGCCAGAGCTGGAGCCTCACATTGGAATGGTGTGAGATGGCGCCCATCAACCCCCGCCCTCTTCTCTGTACCTCTTGCTTTGAGGCCATCAACGTTTCCCATCACTGCCGTGTGAAAAGTAAGTACATCATACGTTAATTTGTATTGTCACTGCGCCGTAGAGCCGTGGTAAAGAACACATTCATTTTTAATCCACTATGAATAATATATAAATATGTATACAGTGTGGAGGGTCAAGAGGGGTGAGGAGAAAGCAAGCAGTACATTGTTTATAGTGAAAGTGGGGGAATGAGATATTTTTCTTACTTGCTCCGATGGAAATAGCTATTCTTTCCCCGCACCTACAGGGGAGAGGAAAATGCCTGCCCTTGAGGGGCCATCCATTAGTTACAGCTCAGCCATGGCAGCGCCTCTACGGAAGGCTGAGGCTTGGAGCTTCCACACCCTCTGAGCTGATGGTTTCTCTTGGATGTGGGGCAGAGGATGAGAGTGGGCGTTGGGTGGGCGAGTGGGTGATCGGCCCCTGGCATCCAGTAATGAGCACACTCTTCAGCGCATGCTCAAAGCTGTCACCTTCGTTGGTTCTCACACAGACAGCAGGAGGCAGTATTGGCAGCAGGATGGCTTCCTCTTTCACAGGTAGAGAAGCCTGAGCCGAAAAGATTGGGGGTCAACTTGATGCTAAACATGTACTCAACTGTCTGACCACTCTGGACACTGCCTACAAGCCCTTTTTGCCAGAGGATTCTCCACAAACATATTCCAGGAGGTGATCCATAGACACAATAGGAGTGTATAGTATAAGTGTGTATGTGTGTGTGTGTGTGTGTGTGTGTGTGTGTGTGTGTGAGAGAGAGAGAGAGAGAGAGAGAGAGACCACACTTGCATGGACATGGACACGGGGCCCAAAATTCTCCAGAGGACCATTAAATAATCCTTGCATTGAGCACGTGGGACACTATTGGAATATGGGTTCAGGAGGTATATTCTTTCCTCGGTGTTGGTCATGAGTGTCAGTCTGATGGACTGAGAGACACTAAGAAGAGCAAGCATGCCTCTGAACATGTCTTTGAAGGGATTTCCAGATGCAACGAGGCCGTGAGTTGCCTAGCTTAATCTGTGGTTGAACCCACTGATGGATTCGTAATTTGACTAGACCCTGGGGAGACAGTGAAACTGAGGATGGTGGGGCTTTCTAGCAGGAAGTTGGTAATGGGGGAGTGTCCTCAGGGGCTTGCCTGGCCCCTTCTGCGACTGCCAGACTCTGCTTTCTGTCTACTGTAAGGTGAACACTAGGGCTCTACAATGCCATCACCACAGTGATGGTCTCAAGTCGTGACCCGAAATATATCATTCTCCTTTTAGGTTCTGCCAGGTACTTTGTCTGCAGCTACAGCAGAGTACCTGTACCCACCGCAGTTGGCTCCAGGATGGCCTCCTGCTGTGGACATTAAAATCTGCGATGTGCAGCCTATGTATGGAACAGCAGCATCGACGTGGAACCTGCTTGGATCCCTCACCCTTTTTTCCTTCCTTCTATCTCTCTCTCTCTTTTTGTTAATGTCATTGTTGAGACAGGGTCTCCCTATCTAGTCCAGGATGGCCTTGAACCTATGGCGATCCTCCTGCCTCATGCTCCCAATTTCTGGAACTATAAACATATACCATTATGCCTGACTTTTCAGATACTTTTAATCATGCCTAGGTTATTAAAATACTACAAGACCTTAAGAGTATCTGCTGCTCTTGCACCCATAAAAGCTGGCTCACACCCACCTATAACACCAAATCCAAAGACTCTGATGCCCTCTTCTTGCCTCCAAGGGCACTGCACTCATGCCCGCAGCCACACAGAGACACATACACATGTAATTAAAAATAAGACAAGGTCCGGCCTTCGAGGTGATGGTCTGGTTTCCCCTGGTTGCCCCGGCGTCCCCAGTGCTTGCACACTGCCCTTGCTAAGCTTGCAGCTGGGCCTCTGGAGCTGTTGAGTACAAGGATCCTAGTCCAGATCCCTTAGAATACTCTTGTTCCAGGGTCAACAGGGCAATGCGCCTAGTTAACTTATACAAACAGGTTCTTCAAGAAGAGTCACGTCCTTGGCCGCATATATTATACTTCCTAAAATTTCCCCGTAACTCTGAGTAGGAAAGTAAGTTCCAGTCAGGGATGTAATTCATGTTTTCCATTTTCAAAAGGAAAATATTCTTCCATCTAATTAAAGATGCTAAAAAAATCTTTGAAATAGTACAAATAGTTTGTGGTTTTAGATTCCATGTGATGTGGGTTTTAATTTAAAAGGCTATTCAAAAGCATATTCCTTTTCAAACTGGAGTCCGATCCAGGTGGTAACACATTAGTGATATCACCATGAAGTCATTCTCAGCTTAATATACAGCCTATGGTGTGCTGCAAACAGCGTGTTTTATCACGATCCTGCACCTCTTTTATGGTGTTTATCAGGCAAGAGGACCTAGGAATGTTGAAACTGATTTCTCAAACCATTCTAAAAAATAAAAATAAAAAACAAAGTATGAGTGTGTGTGTATATGTGAGAGGCGAGATGGATGGAGAGGGAGAAGGTGAGAGAAGAGAAGAGAGGAATGGGAGAGAGAGATGGGTGGGGAAAGGGAGAGAGAGTAGCTCCTTTTCTTGTTGCTGTGACGAAAGACTTGGGTGAAGCGTCTTAAAGAAAGGAAGGTTAAGCATATGGTCCATCGGAGTGTGGAAGGAGGTAGGAACATGTTGCCATGGTTTCACACAGCTCCCACCGGAACCAGAAGGGAGTATCACTTCAAGGCCTACCCCCAGAAACTCGCTCTACTGGGGAGGTCGCAGTCCCAAAGGTTCCCCAGTTTTCCAAAATCACGGCATGATCTGTGGACCCATAGGTCAAACAGGGGCCAGATCACAGCCCTTTGGGGAAGTGGTGATTCTACAAGGAGTAGGGAATATACGAGATGAGCCCAGAACATTTGCACTGTGAAATAAATTGTTTCTTTTTAAAGCCTCCATTAATAGGTGCGTGAGGGCATCTCAGAACAGCGTGGAGCCGGATAGGAGCCCCGAAGGCTCAAACACGGAACATTTCAACAACAAAGTAAATAATATCGCACCAAATCATAGCCTAATGTATAAAATAAATATCCACAAGTCACACTGACATAAATGATTGAATCGGTAAATATGTATGGAAGGATCTGCAAAGGCATATCGCAAATAATTCATGTAGACATTGACTACTGAACGAGGCAGCAAGACAGTCCCATCCCGAAGTGTGCTGTGTCTCGCATGCAGAGGGCGGCCGTGTTACTTGCCAGTGCGGGAATCTACCTAAGCACTACCTTAGCCGGGGGCTCAAGGTCACCGTGGCAGGCATCTTTGGTTTGGTAGGAGAAGGGCACTTTGGCTCTGTCATCTTTCTTCCCCAAACCCAGAGCTCCAGTCGAAACATGAGAAATTGCAGCCGAGGGACATTTTACAAAGCACTCCTCAGGACAGCCAAGGTGATCGCGATCTGAGACCTCACAGCTAGGGAGAGCAGAGGACACACGACACCCGTGCAAGGTGGCCTCGGCAATGAGAGCTTAAGAGCAGAGTGTGGACATTAAATAGAATCCAGTTGTTTGCAATCAGAGTAAAATCTGGGCTGGCTTAATAGTGATGTATCAATATTGGTTCATTGCTCATGACGAATGTACTCCAGTAATGTGTATGATGTTCAGGATGGAGGGAGCTGAGGGCCTCCTCACTCCCTGTGCATGCATCTGGTTGCTCTGAGTGTGTACTAAAATGAAAGGCTTATTTTCAAAGTTTCTTAGGTGCCATCTTCCATTAGCTGATGATGAAACCGATAGTTGATATTTGAATACTGAAAAATCCCAATACCTAACTTCAAGCAAGTACCACGGCTGGAAGTATGGTTCTGGTGTAAGACACTAGCAGCTAAGGCCAACAGAGACGGCCCAGTGGTTAGGAGGGCTGACTGCTCTTGCAGAGGATCCGGGTTGGATTCCAGCACCCACGTCAGATGGCTCACGGTCACCAGGTTCAGGAGATCTGATACCCAGTGGCCTCCAGGGACCCCTGCACCTGGATATACTCAGGCGCAAGCATTGGCTAAAGAAACAAATGTAAGGTAATAGGCCTGGAAGGTGGTTCGTAACTTTCTCTGACCGCACAAGCTTGAGGAAAGGAAGAAAGTACCGCATCACCCCTACCCCGGATTTCCTATCAAGAGTCAGAGGGGACTGCAACATAGCCGAGTCCCTTTAGAGCCCCTATATACTGAATCAGAGTGGTTAAGAGCGGAGGGTACAAAAAGTCATCGCACGACCTTATCCGACCGGGCTTGTGGGTGCCTTTGAGAAGCTACTTCATCCCTTGAGTCTCAGTTCTCTCATCTGTACAATGGGTGTTGTAAGACGGATAAGATGGAACATAGGTCGGTTAGTCATTTGGGAGAATTGAGAGAAAGTCCGTATGCCACTTAGTGTGGGGCTCATAAGAAGAGTCAAGTAAATTGTAATTGGTGTGGTCAGGATATCAAGACGTTGCCTCTGTGACCTGTCCCTGGATGATCGGGGACTCTGAGACTCCGAGAGGGTGCGTGCTTGACCAGGGACACTAAGCCAGAGCCAGAGCTGAGCATTGATGGTGTGGTCAGAGCTGAAGCTACCATGGTCATCTCCCTGTCACTTCTGGTTCAGGCTGAGAAGAAAATTCTGTTCATGTGGCTGGACACCAACAGGACAATCTTCAGGAATGAGTCTCTGGCTACTGGGGGCTTTGCCAGGCATGATCTCCAAGAGTCCAACCTACCTTGCCCACCTTGAAAGCGGCCCTGGACACCACAAGGGCTCTCAGCCCACCCTCTCCTTCTCCTTCACTCCCTCCTTCTTTTCTTCCCTTCCTTCCCCAGCAGCTTCAACTCCACTCCCATGCCCGGACCACTCCCTGTGGTTCCAAGTCACACCACATTTATTTGCTTGCCTCAGGCAGCCTTGGTCTGTGGAGCCACCAGCCCGCCTGGGTGGTCAGCCGGCCGGCGGCATGCACTCCACAGCCACTATTGATCTGGGATCTTAAATCATCCCCGGATTTTATGAAAACATTTACGTTTATCATTAAATAACCTTCAAAGGGTCGATGAACTTACTTTCATTTTTTTTTGAAGATTTTCAGATGTGTAATATAATAATACTCTAATGAGACTCAGGGTTTGTCTCTGGGCAAGCACATTTAATATCGGGAGAAATGTTAAGAGAGGCTACATGAAGGAGACAGCAGCCTCGGGGTGAGGTGCACCCCAGGACTGGGGGCAGCTGGTGGTTTCCTCAGCTGGCAGGACACTCTGCTATCTTTAGCGTGTTGGGGTGCAGACATTGGGGTAAAGCACTTTTGAGGTTCACGACCTTAAGGTTTAAAAAAAAAAGTGAGCCAGAGAGAGATGCTATGACTCAAGCAAGGCTATCATAGCTGTTTTTATATTTTTAATAGATTGGTTTTACAATATTAAGGAAAATGAAGGCAAAAATGAGAGAGATTCTGGCATCAGCAGCTGTAACACCTGTTAGTCTTACCCTAGTCTTTCTGCCTTATGGATGCTGAGCTAACACAGATATCTGAGCCCCTGGGCAAACAGAAGGAATTCCTGAGAGGTGCTAACAGCCAGCTCTTCCCTGGTAAAGCTTTGCTAGAGCATCATCAGGACCACAGGGCCAACAGGCTCCTTCAGAATAACAGTGAGACTTCTCCCTCCCAGTCCATCAGAGGATGTGCCTGTGTGTACCCCTCCTCCCTGTTTCCCACCACGGCAGCTTGCCTCCTATGCCTGGCTGTCTAACTTACAACCACTTCCTGACCAAAGCATACTACCCACTACCGTTTGTGTTAGAAATGCAGCCTCGCTTGCCCTGACCATCCAGCTAACCTGTCACAATACCATCTCCCCCTTACAACCCATGAGCTCCATTTTCTTGTCGATGGCATGAAACAGGTACCTGATTATGTCCTGTTCACAGAACAACTCCAACTTCCGTCCTAATCCCGCCTCTACTGGGAGCAGAGCTGGTTACATTTTTCAGCCTCCTCTGGGTGAGCCATTCCCTCCACCCAGGCTTTACCCTCCCCTTTAAGGAGTTGGGACAGTCTGGTGGGAGTGAAAAAGGGACCCTGACCTTGGACAATTCCTTCCATCAGCTTCTGGTCTTATGGGGAGCTCACAACACCTCACCTTGCTCTCCTCCACTTCCCTGCTCCTCCTCCTCATCCAAGAAGGCTTCCTTCCTCCTCAAAGGCTGCCTCTCCTAACTGGTTACTCTCCCCCCCCCCCTCCGCTGGGCCATCCATCCCTGCAGGGATCGTCCTGCCTGTTTTGTTGGTCTTCCTCTCTGGGAAAGCCCCAGTGCCCTGTGACTGAGTCACTTCTGTCCCCACAGTTCTCCAATCTCAGAGATCACACCACGGTCTTGGTCAAGTTCAAGTGTACTGTGCTCATTGGCGGGGGCTGGGGCGTGTGTGGTGCATTTTAATGGGAGCTATGATGGTACCGCCTCCTGTGCCGCACAGCCCAAAAAGCTGCCCCACACAGCGGCCACATGGCAGCGCTTGGGGCCTTACTGTTACTACAAAGTCACTGGAGCACAGCCCCATATACGCATTTTTTTTTTTATGTTCCAAGACTATTTTTTTAAAAGTTCTAATGTGCTGGCAATGTTTAAAAACAA